GCCTGTGAGCAGGCATACTCAGCTGATTGCAGATTATTTGAAAATGATTGCAAATTTATCAGTTCAGGTTTATTAATGTATGTGCTAAACATGCTAATGTAAACTATTTTAATCTAGGTAACCAACTACCAGCAGAAAGAGTTCGTTTTATTCTGGGAGGTGAAGAAAATGATGTTGAACATCAGATATTTACTGAAATGGATGAATTATACTGTGATGCAAGTGGTGTAGAAGAGTGGAAGGAGACGGCAAGATGGTTAAAATTTGAAGAAGATGTGGAAGAAGGTGGCAATCGATGGAGTAAACCTCATGTGGCCACTTTATCTTTGTATAGTTTATTTGAACTCCGAAGTTGTGTTCTCAATGGAACTGTGTTACTTGATTTGAATGCAAGCACAGTATCACAGATAGCAGGTAAAGGGACAACTGTCTTACACCCAGGGTAGTGGCAAACACTTTGTGAATTTAGGTGGCCAACGTATTTGGGCCATGTTACATGAGGCAATTTTGTGTGCAGCTTGTAACAAAAAAAATAATTTAGGTGATTGCAGTGAGATGTCAGACAAGTACAAGTTGCTTTGCAACCTGCAGTGTAGTTATATTTTTGTTGGGAGAATTTGGTCTGATTGCAGCCTAACCTGTTTTGCGATTGCTTGATTTAAAAATAAACTTGAGATAATTTGCAGCAGTGTTAGACACTGCGACTTCTTGTACATCTCAGCGAAAAGTAGAAGCTTGTTTAACCATTGCACTTGTACCACTTGCATCACAGTTGTAATTGACCAGCAGGTTTAGGCGAGGGCTACAAATGTGATTTTTGCTTGTGATGGTGATCAATGCAATGGGTCAAATTTCATTGTGTTACTATTAATCTCAGAAACAAAGCAACCTCATGGGTACTTCTCAAGTAAAGCAATTTTTATTATGTTACTAAAAATAGAATCTTCAGACAATAAAATTGTATATACGGTAACAATTTTGACACTTTTGTTAAATACGTTTGTTCATTCCAACAGGCAATATTGCTTATATATAACACAATTCATTTACATTGCAATTTACAGCAAAAATTCACTCATGGCAATTGCCCTCGTCGGGGGGGGGGAGTTCAGTTCCCAATGACATGTGCCGTAAAATAATTGAGAAAATACTTGCTACCGTTGCTGAAATATAGTATGGTATTGCGATCTGTCAGATCTTCACACTTGTTTTCTGATCATACGTCTAAAGCTTAGATCTTTCTGCCCACTACAGAGCAGTAAACATAATGAAAATTCAAACGTGTTTTGTTATTATAGATATTGTACTTGATGATTTGGTTGCTTCAAGGCAGCTTGATGTTGGCTTGCGACCTCGACTACGAGATCTTTTGTTAAAAAAACACAGACATTTATATGAAAGAAGGAAAAGCACTCAGAGAAAGAAGTCGGGTCTTCCATCATTACGGGGATCAAAGAAAGCAAGTAATTTGGATAAAGGTACATATATTTCATGCACATTATAATGTTGGTAGTACATATGAAAACTCTGAAGTCTTAACCATTTCCTGCCACTCTGATTTGAGTTTTTGGCCATGACTGGAACCATTGCAGACACTTCGTGAAGTACTGGGGTATAAATTTAGGTAATCAACATATTATCACACTTGTTGCAAATCTTAGTCAAAATGTAATGAAATATTGCTCAAATTGCACGAGAAACCATACTATTTCTTATTTTAAAATAATATACATGAAAAAATTATGCAGTCACATGCGTGCGCAGGTCACATGCGAAATAGTTAATTTTAATATAAATAATTTTAATAGAGCCATTTTTATCACTTTTAAATGTTTGCGTTTTTTGTATTATTTTCTGCTAGAAATGGCTGTATCTTATAGTGAATGAAATTTGCACTGTATGTCATTTATTGGCACTGTATTTAAAAAAATTGCATTGCTCTTACCCAATCAGAATTAAGAAATTCTTTCATGTACAGGGTGTATAAAAAAAGACGCAACCTCGGAATTTCCTAGCAAGTCCACTTTGCAATTCTTAAGCATAAAAGATTTTAAACCCCTGGGAATTGAAATCGAATTGCTAATAGATCATATTACTGTTGTTGTATTGTACTTGTAAAATAACAACGTATTTAAGGCCATGTTACACGGTGCAATTTTTCTTGCAACTTGCAATGCAATTCTACTCTTGAGAGATGTAAAATTGCCAAATACGAGTCTTCATTACACTTCGCTCAGAGGAGGAATGAGGGTCTTCCCACAATGCATTGCGTCTAATTATTATTCACAATTATAATTTTCAACGAACGTTTGGCAAAAAGTTGTTGAAATACATTGCGATTTTGGCTCCGTTTATCTCGTTTTTTCGAAGGTATGTTTTTATATTTGTATTATTTAAGACCCTAATTAAACTGTTTTTGACTTGTTTGGTACAGGAATTGCTTTTTAGTTATATTAATTACGTATTGTAATTGTGCTTGATTCGGGTCAGTGCACACGCCAATAAAATGACCTTGATATAATGCAGAAGCAAACTCACTTTTTTTTGAGGAAAATAAAAACAAAACACGTCATCGAATTCGGGAAGATTTTTTCTTTCTACTGTTACTTTAAAACATGAGTTTGCTCCACTAAACCGACAAGTAATCGCGGTTTGAAAATGGGGTACTTTCGCTATATTCTATCGCCGATGGCGGGAATAGACCGCCTGATAAATAATCATGGCGCGAAGGAAATTATTGTACTAATCTCTATTTTTCATGATAATTTTGAAACATACGCATTTTTGTTCGTACATATTTTAAGTTTAATGCAATTTTTAAGGTTAGGTATGCTTATGTTTACCTGCCCTGACTGTATTTTTTCATTTTATTATATAATTCGGCTATTTTGGAGTAAAAGTATATATTTTAAACAGGTATATACTTCTGAAGGTGATACCCCAGGGAAACCTAATAATATAAGACGCAGAATTTCTCGTTTGAAAAATTCAACATCAAGGTTTTTACAAACATAAAATACAGTATGACCAGTTTGACCACACAAAAACATTGTAAAGTTGTCATATTAACAGTATTAAAACATTGTATTTTAATGCTTTTTTTGCCTGGGAGAATTTCTGTCCATAGGCATACGAGGCTGGGGGTTGCAACCCCTCCAGTCAGTGTTTAGTTGGGCAGAATTCTTCTTTAAAAAATTATTCGGCAATTGTTTTAAAATTGACTTTAAACAGTATATAGACAGGAGATGTATTCCTTCTATTTTAAATGACAATGTTGGGCAATTTCTATCCACCTGTACGCCATATTATTTTTCAATGCTGGGAGTGGCATTCCAGAAAACCTATAGTACACACATTTCCTGGAGAAGCATGTCCACAATCCTGGTAAACATCCATGAGTTTCTTTGTTGCCATCTAATTGTGCTGGCACTGAGATTGCCCCTCTCACTTTTGCTGTTTGCTTTGTAGTTTCCTATCATAAAGATTAAACCGACTCCAAAGAAATCCCCAGTACAACTTCATAAATGGACATTTGAGGAAGATAAAGCATTCATTGAATTCATATCTGTTGCAGAAAATCATGCAAATGATTACGATTGAAGAGGTTTACCAATTATGTAATACCTCTAGTTGTTTTAATACATCATTAAGCTAGAGCAAAAGCATCACCTTTCATATACGTTATCATATATAGCATCCGTGTTTTTGGTGAAATGAATGTGTGCAACATTTTAAAATTGTACGCATAAGATTTTATTGTTAAAAACATTTTAATTATCTTTATTAAGTACAGTAATATTATGTTAATATTTTTTTCGATTTTAAAATAAATAAATTTTATCAACATCATTTATGTAGTGTGTGCAGATCTTTTTATTAATTTGTGATGAGCAAGGGAAGACTACACTGAAAATCGTGAAAACCATACATACCATAAACCTCCGAATATAAGCCCCCCCCATGTACAAGCCCCCCCTTGTGTAAGCCCATCAAAAATCGCTTACGAAAGAATATAAGCCCAGTTCTTTTAGGTGGAGGTTTACGGTAGATTGTCAAAAAAACTGCAGAACTGTAAGATGGTGTCCATGCATGGGATATACTTATGGTATAATCAAGTGATATATATACATGGTATAATAGTGACGGAAACACATGCAGTACAGGAAAACAGGGGTAGGGCCAGGACTGTACCACTACAAGTTCCCCAGCTCTATCCTTACAAATAAAAGAAATGTCAGTATTACACCAGACACCAATAAACAATTTTGCAGCTTCT